TTATCATTAGACAGTATACATGATTTGTTTTTTAAATCTGCTCTCAAGCAATGATTGGTATTACTGGAGAGAAAAAACACGAATTGATCTGAAAAGAAGAGGGGAAAATAAATGTTGTATGTTTTCTTAGATGTATTGCAGTTCACTGGATAATGACTGCTTACATGTGCTGTTTGTGCCCTTGTTAAGTTTTTTTTTAAGTAGAAAATAAAAAATTTCTGCTTTTCAAGTTATAACTTGAAAAGCAGAATTATTTTCTACTTTAATCGTGGCTTTATAACTAAATTACTTTTGTTTAAGGAATCTGATGTAAACCTTTAAAAATGTTTTGAAAAAAGAAAAAAAAAAACTCACATAGATATCTGTCACATGAAAATCGTGCAAACCTTGTTACAGCTTTTTTTCAAATCAGATGTTCTAAACTTGTCATGAATGCATTTAATTTTTATATTGTATGCTTAGAAAGTATTCAGCAGTTGTTGCATGAAAATAATTTGCACTATACATTCCGACAAGAATAATAGATTGCTGTAGAGTCACGGTTGATTTGAAAAGAAAACAGGAATGGTGCAAGCATGTTTTCTTAGACATTAACATAAGTGTTGCAGTTCACTGGATTATGACTCCTTGCATATGCAGTTTGTGTATTTGTTTTGTTTTTAATGTTTATGACTAGAAAATGATTTTTCTCTTCCAATTTAAAATCAGGGTGGCTAAATAACTGAATGTTGTTTTTGTGGAACAAGATAGAACCCTCTAAGCCTTGACAACTTTTGCAAAAGAAGAATATTCACATGAAAATGTGTTTACTTAATGAAAATCTTGCAACATTATTACAGATATTTTTCAAATCAGAAATTTAGAAATTGTCATGAATATGTTGAATTTTGATGCTGTATACTTGGAAAATATTCAGCAGTTGTTACCGTGTAAAGAGAATCTGAATGAAAAAAATTGCACTATATAACCCAGCAAGAATAATAGATAGCTGTTGATTTGAAAAGGAAAAAAGGGATGGTGTTTGTGCCTTTGCTTTTTTCTTTCTTTTTTTTCTTCTTTTTCTTATGGTGAGAAATATTTTTTCTCTTCAAGTTATAAGCTAAGTGGCTGAATATCTAAATTATGTTTGTTTCAAGGAATCAGATAGAAAACTCTAAATACATGTATAATCAATTGTAGATTTCTCAGGTTCATTGTTCTTGTTAAAGATTTCATGAGTTTATCATACTTGCATGCTTAAATGATTTTTTTCCTACTTCTAGCAAATCGCTCTGTTGTTGTATTATTTCTTCTTAAGATATAGTATACAATTGCAATGTAATTGTGTCTTGCTTTTTTCACATCTGTGATCATATAGTGCCTGTCTTGATGAATGGTGAATAGTTTGATGAATAAGACATAAGAGCTTCCAAAATTAATATTACAACATAAATGCTTTCTCAGTGAACAGTAAAATGTCTTGTTGAGGAGACTACCATTACTTGTTTTTTTAGGCGTGGTTTTCTTAGTTTCAGTATTTTTTATTTCTTTAAATAATTGATAATAAATATTGTATGATTCAAATAGTATTATTCTAAAAAGATATGTGTTTAATTTAATATTTCACATGTATATGTACAATTTTACAATCATTACAATCATTACTATACATATGTTTGTATACTGTTATTGTATTATGCAGGGCTACCTTGAAAAGCAGGTCCACTAGCAGTCTTCCAGGGGATCTGAATAAAATTACCTTGTTGAAAAAAAATCATAAATAAATAAATAAATATTACTTAAAGCCCCACTGTACTACTTGTAGCTAATTACTACTTGGGTTTAGTGCGAGCCCTATATACACAGGGTTTTATGTTATCCCAGGGGTCTCAGTCATGTAGAAATACTGTAAGCACGCATGACCACAGGTTTTCCAGACACGTACCTCCTATAAACAAGGATTTCTTCTCAAGCCAAAATACACACCCTTAACAGGTTTTTTACAAAATTTTACTCCTAAACAAGTATTGCAAACTTGTAACCCCTCGAGTGAGCGTTTTGAAGTGCGATAGGGATTACCATTTAAGTTGTTGACAATCATATAAAATGAATCAAACTGCACTTTTTATGTAAAATTCACAATATAAAAATGTATTTCAATAGAAAAGGAATAACATCAACCTGTACACTTCCAAATGGGTTTAATACACAGCCATCAGCCAATCATAAGTCCTTTCTTTGAAAAACAGAAGTACATTTCAAATTTGGTCTATATTATATAAATACGTACATGTAGTGTATACAAAAAGTACACAATATACAATGAACAGCTACTATTCTACTATTCAAAACAAAATATAAATGTATAGCCCGGTAATACCTGAGGAACACATGTACAAAGTTACCGGTAGGCAAGCAGCAAGTCAGAGTCGGGGTCTAGCAAAATATCCCTAAACGCATACAGCAGGATTTTGAAAAAGTACTCTTTTTCTTGAAAATGGACGTTTTTTAACCCCTTAAACGCGGCACCGCGCAGACCCCATGACTTTTACAAGCCGATTGCCTGTTTGATTATCAAGACATTTATGATTGGAAATCAAAGTTTCAAAAAACGTTTTCCTAAAGTTTTTATAATACTAGTTTATTGGGGAAAATGAGTATGGTAAAACCCGTCACTCAAAGATGATTACTTTTTTGAGGCACTTCTCGATCACTTTGAAGCCCAATAATTTCAGGGCATCAATTTCACATCATATCACAGACACTGATAACGCTTAGGGCCATGCATCTCAGATTTAACATTGTTAAATGATGCCTTTAAAGGTAATACAAAGTTTTTGTATGGGGTCATGAATTTGGTTCAAATGAACATATTGGAAGCATATGCGACCCTACAATATGCAGTCATCGTTGTCGCGGTTGAAATCGAGTCTAAAGTTATGAAATTGTAAATAATGTTTTATAGCTCCCTCTCAAGGTCAAGATATTAATTAAGCTATAAAACAATGTTTCTTGACTAAAATCGGCCGATTAGCTATTCCTGTTTGGAAATTATATATCACAACTACATATTCTGAGATTTTCATGGAAAAGTGTTTTAGGGGCTAAATTTTCTAGTGCTTATACTACATCCACAGGGGAATCCAAATACATCAAAATTGTAAAGAATCCCTATCCACCCAATTTTCAAAATTTCCCAAAACTATGTACAGTCAAACCTGCTTTAGTGACCACCTGTCTACAAAGACCACCTGTCTACAAAGGCCACATTTGTTGTTTCCCTTGAAAAAGGTTTCTCATTGAATCATGTACTAAAGGAACCTGTCTACAAAGACCACCTGTCTACAAAGGCCACTTTTTGTGTTTCCCTTGGGTGATCGCTAAAACAGGTTTGACTGTATTACCTTTAAGAACGCTTTTCAGAGAAACCCTTTCTTACAGTGTGAACTGTGTCTTTGTACGTACTCAATGGGATTGCTTTTCTGATAAAATCTTTTCTCACATTGGGTGCATTTTATGGCTTCTCTACTGTATGTGTTACTATATATGACAATTGAGTACACTTTTCATAGAAAATGTTTTCTTACGGTGTAAATATTCATATGGTTTTTCTCCTCTATGTATAGTCATAGTGAGATGAGAATTAACTTTTCTGATAAAATTCCTTCTTACAATAGCAACATTCATATGGCTTTTCTTCTGTATGTTAGTATGTGACGATTGAGTTCATTTTTCTGAGAAAACCCTTTGTTACAGTATGAACATTCATATGGCTTTTCTCCTGTATGTGTTAGTAGATGACAATTGAGTACGCTCTTCTGAGAAAATCTTTTCTTACAATGGCAACATTCATATGGCTTTTCTCCTGTATGTTTTCGGAGATGACGGTGAAGAGTACTTTTCTGAGAAAATCCTTTCTTACTGTGTGAACATTCATATGGCTTCTCTCCTGTGTGTGTTAGTAAATGAATATTGAGTGCACTTTTCTGAGAGGATCCTTTCTTACAATAGCAACATTCATATGGATTTTATCCTGTATGTGTTAGTAGATGACGATTGAGTACACTTTTCTGAGAAAACCCTTTGTTACAGTATGAACATTCATATGGCTTTTCTCCTGTATGTGTTAGTATATGACGATTGAGATCATTTTTCTGAGAGAATCCTTTCTCACAATAGCAACATTCATATGGCTTTTCTCCTGTATGTGTTAGTATATGACGATTGAGTACACTTTTCCGTGAAAATACTTTCTTACAATAGCAACATTCATATGGCATTTCTCCTGTATGTGTTACTATATGACGATTGAGATCACTTTTCCGGGAAAATCCTTTCTTACAGTGTGAACATTCATATGGCTTTTTTCCTGTATGTATTTGTATATGTTGATTGAGTACATATTTCTGAGAGAATCCTTTCTTACAAAAGCCACATTCATATGGCTTTTCCCCTGTGTGTGTTCGGAGGTGTTGGGTGAGATTTCTTTTCTCAGAAAACCCTTTATTACAGTGTGAACATTCATATGGCTTTCTCCTGTATGTGTTAATATATGACGATTGAGTACACTTTTCCGTGAAAATCCTTTCTTACAATAGCAACATTCATATGGCATTTCTCCTGTATGTGTTACTATATGACGATTGAGATCACTTTTCCGGGAAAATCCTTTCTTACAGTGTGAACATACATATGGCTTTTCTCCTGTATGTATTTGTATATGTTGATTGAGTACATATTTCTGAGAGAATCCTTTCTCACAAAAGCCACATTCATATGGCTTTTCCCCTGTGTGTGTTCGGAGGTGTTGGGTGAGATTTCTTTTCTCAGAAAACCCTTTATTACAGTGTGAACATTCATATGGCTTTTCTTCTGTGTGTGTTAGTAGATGACAATTGAGTGCACTTTTCCGTAAAAATCCTCTCTTACAGTAGCAACATTCATATGATTTTTCCCTTGTGTGTGTTCGTAGGTGTCTGATGAAATTACCTTTGTGAGAAAAACTTTTTTTACAGTGTGAACATTTATACGACTTTTCTCCTGTATGTGTTCGGAGATGACGTTTAAGATTATTTTTCAGAGAAAAACCTTTTTTACAATAGAAACATTCATATGTCTTTTCTCCTGTATGAATTAGTATATGACGATTGAGTGCACTTTTCTGAGAGAATCCTTTCTTACAATAGCAACATTCATATGGCTTTTTCCTGTATGTGTTAGTATATGAATATTGAGTGCACTTTTCCGTGAAAATCCTTTCTTACAATTGCAACATTCATATAGCTTTTCTCCCGTGTGTGTTAGGAGGTGTTGGGTGAGATTGCTTTTCAAAGAAAACCCTTTCTTACATTGTGAACATTCATATGGCTTTTCTCCTGTATGTGTTCGGAGATGACGTTTGAGATTATTTTTCTGAGGAAATGCTTTCTTACAATAGCAACATTCATATGGCTTTTCTCCTGTATGTGTTAGTATATGACGATTGAGTGCACTTTTTCGAGAAAATCCTTTCTTACAATTGCAACATTCATATAGCTTTTCTCCTGTGTGTGTTAGGAGGTGTTGGGTGAGATTGCTTTTCAAAGAAAACCCTTTCTTACAGTGTGAACATTCATATGGCTTTTCTCCTGTATGTGTTCGGAGATGACGTTTAAGATTATTTTTCAGAGAAAATCCTTTTTTACAATAGCAACATTCATATGACTTTTCTCCTGTATGTGCTAGTAGATGACAATTGAGGAGGCTTTTCTGGGAAAATCCTTTCTTACAATAGCAACATTCATTTGGCTTTTCTCCAGTATGTATTAGTATATGTTGATTGAGTACACTTTCCTGAGAGAATCCTTTTTTACAATAGCAACATTCATATGGCTTTTCTTCTGCATGTGATCTCAAGTGGAGATGGGGATGACTGGCCTGACATGATCTCTTAATGCAACATGGACACTGATGTAGCTGTTCTCCAGAATGTATCCTTAGGTGAATGTTGGATCGATCTGTTGTGGGAAACACCTTGCCGCAATGTGAGCAAAGATGAGATTTACCTCCACTGTTGATTGACATTCCACTCTCTACCGTCTCTTGTCCTTTGTCAACAATATCACCTGGTGGCGAGAAAGAGAAAGCTCATGTCATCAAAACCTCAGATACAGTGTAAGAAATTACATGAGTGTCCTGTCACTTCATATTGAGACAGAAGTTTTTGGATTATGTTCTGAACTTCCGAGAGAAAGATGAATATGCCAAAATGGATTCAATGGGTTCAAGCATGTAGGCCGTCTAATTGGTCAAATGACACCACATGACAATGCATCTTTGTTTCCAACCATGCCTACCCTGCAAAAAAAGTTCCCCAAAAATTCTTGAACTACCATATGGTTCCATCTACATGTATAATTATGCTAGAAACAGATCACATGTTATTGCCTCCTACTCACCTTTTTAAGTAATAAGTGGAGGGCCAAAGTCAAATATCATGCTTGGTTTTTTGAGCTGGTTGCCACTACCAGTATACCACATGAACTAGAAATATCGCAATCTGTATTGGTGCTCAATGCAATGTATCCCCCTGCAGTGACAGCGAATTTGTGTCATCCTTAAGTTCGAAGCCTAGGGGCAAAGACCCCCTATGGTCAAGACTAGGAGCAGCATCACCGAAATAATATGTGTGTAAAAGACATCCACCACAATATTACCTTTGACCCTATAACAGACGAAACACAGGTGGCAGCATCAACAAACACTAAAGATTTGTAGATTATACTCGGACACACCTCCATACAACATTCGAGAGAAATCCGTCAAGAAATGTGGCAGTTAGTACGCATAAAAGACATATGACCTTTGAACATATAAAACATGGAATAATGAGGGCAGCATTTCTCAAAAGTGTAGATGTGTAGATTAGAGTATAATGCATCTTTGCAGAAAATTTGAAAGAAATCTGTGAAGAAATGTGACAGAGAGCATAAAAGATATGATCATTGACCATATAAAAGACGGAACAATGAGGGCAGCATCGCCCCAAAGTAATAGGTGTGTAGACTGTAGTAAGAAACACCTCCATACAAAATTTGAAAGAAATCCGTCATGAAATATGACCTAAAGAGCGCACACTAGACACCCACCAAAATATAACCTTTGACCCTATAAAACACAGAACACTAGTGGCAGCATCACCAAAAATAGTATAGAGGCAAAGAGTTTACTTTCATACTCAATTTGAAAGAAATCTTGTCAAGAAATGATGCAGTTAGACCGCACGCAAGAGAGTGCACACAAGACATCTATCAAAATATGACCTTTGACCCTATCAAAGACGGAACACTGGAGGCAGCATCACCAAAAAGTTATAGGCTTGTAGATTAAAACAAGATACACCTTCATTGAAATTTTCAAAAAAATCCCTTGAGAAATGTGGCCTATAGAGCGTTCACAAGAATATGACGGGGTGGACGCTGCAACAGGGTAACACTGCTCAATCCAAAGTACCCCACCGGCATACAACTAAGCACACCTTGTTTATTCAAAAGATTTTATAATAATACACAATATTTCAGAGTTGTCTTTTTTTTAATTTGTAGTGGTCACCCCTAAGTCCATTACGGTAAGTGGATGCAAAATAGACAAAAGACAAATGGTAATTGGCAAGATGCACTTTCTTTCTTATTACTTGTTTGGAAAGAGTGGGCTAAAGGACATGCTACAAGCTTAAGCTATGGTCAAACACCAAAAAGTAGACTGCTCGGAGGCCGGGGGACGAGTTTTGAGCCAATTTTGCCCGGGCATCGAGTTTGAATTTGAATTTGAATTTGAATTTGAATTTATTAACAACAACACATCACAATAATGACAGTACATATGAACAATCATACAATGCAAAAAAATAATACTGATACATGTATACATAACATAAGAGTAATGTTGATTGAACAGTAATGGTTTTAAAACGATATTTTTTAGACATACATCTGCATACTATTAAATGTACAAAAGATATATACGTAAATATGTTTATTACTATGTTTAGGTGAAGTTGTTAATGGGAACTAGAAGTTTGCACAAGTGCTAGTCGAGCCTAGTTCCATTCTTTGGCAAGATTTTTTTCTGTTAATTTGTTTTTACATATGAATGTAAAACTTGTTTGTTTTGTATTTACATATATACAACAAAATAATACAATATCATGTAACTTTTTTTCACTAAAATGAAAAAATAAAAATAAAAAAGCTTAAGCGTTAAAGCATTATGATGAAAGAAGACAAATCTTTGAAGAAATAAAATCATCAATGTGTTCATGAAAATGAAAAGGATGTATTAATAAAAATAATCATACACATGTACGTACATGCACAAATCCTGTAAAAGCTTAAGGCCGCTATAATCGTTAGCAAGGAAGTGTATACATATATAAAAGGAAGACAAGTAATATAAAAGGAAAAAACGAAGGGGGATGGGAATGGGATTGAGCCCACGTCATTTACATAGAAGTTAGGTGGAAAGATGTCTCCGAAAAGATAACCTTGATGTTTTCAATCTAATTTCTTCTGGCATATCATTCCACAGCTTTGTTCCTACAAACGAAATACAAAATTGCCCTTGCGTTGTCTTACATTTTGGTTGATAAAGTAAGCCACTTTCTTTTCTCCTAGTTGCATATCTGTGCTGTATCATCTGACAATATCCACTAAAGAGTGTGGTACAAAACCTTTTACCAAATCGTACATAAATGTTGATACAAGAAGTTCATGAAGTTGAAAAATATCTAAAATGTTCAGACTTTGGAGTCTGTTCTAAGTGGACTGAATGTAATTGCTCTCATTGCCATTTTTTGACTTAAATATATACAATTTAGATTACTTTTGTAAGTGCTCCCCCATACTTCTACTCCATAAGAGAGGTGAGGCTGTATAAAAGCCTTATATAATAACACAAGTATATTCTTGGGAACAAAATGTCTCAGTTTAAACAGAATACCTACTTTCTTTCTTACGCATTTGTTTATTGTCTGAATATGTTCTTTCCATGAAAGGGGTGACAATCAATTTCAATTCCTACAAATGATGCAACAGATACCTCTTTAATATCTGATCTTGATATTCTCACAGATCCCTTTTTGTCTATTGATCTACCTTTGGATTTCATAATCATATAGTTTGTTTTCTGTAGGTTAATTGTGACTTCATTTGCATTACACCATTCCTGCACCTTCATTAAATTTTCACTTACAATTTCTAAATCAATTTCTTTTTGTCTAGGATTAAAAGTATGAAAAAGATTTGAGTCATCAGCAAATAATCTGAAATTGAAAAAGTTTGTGGAGTAAGGTAAGTCATTTATATATAGTAAAAATAATGTTGGTCCAAGAACGGAGCCTTGAGAGACACATGTTATATTCAATTTCAAAGACATTTTGGCCCGTATTCTGAAGTCGTGTCTAACTCCTGTTTAACTAAACAGTTGTCTAAGTCCTGTCTAAGTCCCGTCTAACTTTAGACACGAAGTCGTGTCTAACTTTTTTTGTATTCTGAAGTCATGTTTAAATAAAGTTAAACACGAAGTCCTGTCTAAGTCCTGTTTAACTTTAGACAACTGCGAGGGATTGTTTAAGTCCTGTTTAAGGGCGCGATTCTGCTGCTTTTCAATGTCGACAGTACACTCCACTTGCTGACCCTGAACTTGCGGGGGAGAACGATGGTACGTGCATTCTCTAAAATTTCAAATACGTTTTGCAGGATTTTTTCTCGTGTAGCCTAATTTTTTTTCTCGATAATATTAACTATTCTTATCTACTGGTGACATCTTGGAAATTTCATAATCTATAATAAACTAACCATTCTATTGGAGAAGTTTCTTTTCTGGTTCTTCCGAGCACTGAGGCACTGATAAGTAGTGTGTTTGTCAAACTCAGTGTACAGTACGTGAACTACGTACGTACGTACACAAAGTACATGCAGTCCAGTCATTACGTCACAATCACATCACCATGGTACCAGCACGCGCACAGCTACCGTAAATAACGTTGTATTAACCGCACTTTTTTTACCGCCGGTAAACATCAAAAGTTGGGGGTGCGGTTTATACACGTTACAGACATAAATCATGCTGCAAATTGTGAGAAGTCCGTCTCTACTAATGTTGTTTTACTTATTCCATTGGTGGTTAGAGCATGTTATAAACAAATGATATGAAAACGCCAGTTTATTATTTAATATGTAAACTAAATTTGATAAAAATATAAGTGGAAAGACGGCACATTCTGGCCGAGAAGCCACGCTATCTAGAGCGGGTATTGGCAGCCCATCGCGCACCGAAGCCACCCCTAGCCGTCCCCGTGCCCAGACAAGTCCGATCTCCTCTTAATCCGTAACCAACTGGAGAGAAGGACAAAAGAGATAACATGTACTAGACATTGATTGACACTATCCAAGTCAAAATGTTCCCTATGTTTTGTCCGAGATGTCCATTGTTTCATCTTAAACATCGCTAAGACTCACCGACCTTTTGGGCTGAGTTAATCTCCCAATAACAATAAAACGATATGGCTGTCCACGTCCGCCGGCGTGCGTCCCGCTCGATTGATCAAGCTAACACAATAGCAGGCTTTCTTTCACAACCGCATGCTTTGATATCGTTACTGCTTTTAGAATGCGCTTGTTTATCATGACATGTTTTTTTCCTGGCGCGATGCGCTGTACTAAAGTGAATCAGGGATAACTTTGAATCTTAATTTTAGTCTTCATATTTTATTGATAATATGAAGAATATTCTAACAACTTCTTTTATCATTATTTTGCAGGTATCGGAAGTCGATAGGCATTGTTGAGTTACACGAGGTTGGAGCAATTTAGCCTCGACATAATAAATAGAGCTATAATGTTTTTATTAGGATGATTAACCCCATTATGAGAAACCTTTCATATTAATGCTAACAGTAGAATTATTTTATGACATGTGGCGAACATATTTAAAACAAATTGAGAACTATATGCATGATCCATGTGATAAATGGATTGAAATGCGATAATGAACTTAAAGAAGAGAGGGAGAGGGAATTAATCTGTTAATGACAGTGAGAAGAACATGAAGAAGAGATTGCTTAGAC